TGCCCCTCTTGCCTTTTGTTAGTAGGGGCAAGGGGGGCAGAAGTGCCCTTTGAGTTATAAAATACTACACCTGATAAATCATGTTTCCAGTGATGATTTTTGCATGGGCAAAATCATGAGGTGTGATCTTGAATGTGACCTGATTAAGTGCGTTTGCTTTTATTGGAAAGTCAACACATAATTGTAGGTTTATATCTTCACCGAGGTTTACAGAGGTGCCCTTTGGTGTGCGTTTGCCCCCCCCCTTGCCTTCTTATCGTTCCGGCGTCCCTGATTGCAAGTGAACTGACACAGTATATTAGCCCCCATATGAACGGCCCTAGCTTTGATGTGTCTATAAAATACATATACAACTTTTATGCGAATTGGATTTTATCACACAATTAACATATCCAAAAAAGGTTCATGGCATCCTAATGTGGTCAAAGCTAGCAAGTCTGCTATATGTAAATGCATAAAATATACTGAGTAGAACTGGTTTGATGCAACCCATCTTATTAAAAAATCAACATTTGTAAAGTAAATTAACTTGTCTGTTTTTAACGTGTTTATAAATATGAATGACTATATTCATTATTATTTGTTATTTACAAATATGTGCATAAGGTTATGTACTGTGTGTACTGTGCACAGAACTGCCCACTTTCTGTAAGATGTCCGCTGACCACTCTCCTCCGCAGGGGCTTTGTAGTTTGTTTTCTTTCTATGAGAATGAGTTTGTTTTCTTTCTTTCTATAAGTTTGACTTGCGGGCAGTAGCGGGCTAGGTAGAGAAGTGGGCACACGGGGGGAGCAAGCGTGGGGTTAAAAGGGGGCATCATGGACATTTGGAGCCGCTACTGCTCGCAAGTCAAACTTATATAGAAAGAAAACAAACTACAAAGCCTCTGCGGAGGAGAGTGTCCGCTGGCAATACGAGCCCGCATGAGTGGGAGAAATTTTTCTAAATTTGACCAATGTGCTCACATATGTTTTGGCACTGGTGGCAAAGCCACTTAGGTGTGCCATCTTCTCATCTCTCAAAGCACCATGACATACCATAAAGCAAGTTCTTGCCCTCTTGCAATGTTTTCATGGCATTTAAACTTTTGTCCAGAAAATCTGCCTGCACAAATTGGTATAAAGCCATGCATGCCTCCAAGCTCAATAAAAAAAGCTTTTATAAATAGTTCAATAATTGTTCCTTTAATCTTTGGGACATGCTATACTTTTGAAGGCTGTGATGAGATTTTGGACAATATCACCAAGAGTACCTGGGTTATTTCCTGCTGAGCCCTTACATGGTGACTCTTTGAAAATTGGTGAGAGATTATCACTAAAATTGAACACAGCAGCAGGACTTGATGGCACAGGAATAGCTGAGCCAACAGAATCATGTACATAGTCAATTTCAAAATCTTTTTCTTCATCACTCAATGTACCACATTCTTCGCCAAGGTTTTTAGGACTCGGGTTCTACATGAACCTCCTAGAACAATTAAAATATTTTGCTTTAATTAATGAAATATAAGAATATATAAATGGCATTTAATTTATCAGTCGAATTTAATCACAACATTGTTGGGAGCTTGTTGTTTAAAGATGCATTGTTTATAAATGTTTCAGCCTGCAAATGTGTTCAGCCTGAAATTATATTATGAATTTAATCTGTTAAGTTACATTCCATCCTAATGTGCCCTTCTTTATTATTTTACTCTGATTTTACTTGTCAAGGAGGGGCACTGGCACTCAATGCTCGGTTAGTTGATTTAATTTAAATCAATAATAATAATATGATTCGAATACCATACCTGATCGTTGGGATTTACATGCATTTTTTACTGCTTGGGCATATCCTCTTTATCTTTGGTTGTTGGCCATTTGTCGTTCCAGGGATCTTTCCAATACAGACATATATACTGTATTTATTTATAAATAGCATACAAGTTTCTTGTTTAGTCCATGACACTGGATTTTCATTCCTGCTGGATACAGAACTTTGAGAAATTGTTTGGAAAAGGCTCTTCCTCGAACTACCTTCACGTAAAGCCAACTTTGGCTTCGCTGAACTGTCGCCAGTTGACAGCTCGAAGCGTCTCTCGCCTCTTGGTAGCCATTTTGTTTACGGTGTCAATGTATCATTTACCTGTTAAAATGGGCATTATAAATTCAAAAATTGCAGACAAACCGTACGAGGTGCGATGTGATTTTTGGATAGTTTATGCTTTTAAAAACAAGTATACAAAGGAAATGCTATTGATTTCTAATCGTGTAAGGATATTCTGGCAATATAAAAACGCTACTCAAACACCACGTCGAAACATGCCAAATATGGGTGGCAGTTCAATCGGCTATATCTTTCGACACAATCAAGTTTTCGTGAATGATTTTAGGCACACATTAACACCAAACACTCCTTTTCGATATAATAATACAAAACGTAATCAAAATGAGAGGAAATAAGAATAAAATAAATGCTAAACTTACCCATAACTGAAGGTGAATTAACATTCCTTCGCAAAATTGGTAAATTGTGCTCCCATACTGCTTTGCGGTCGTATTGCGCACACCGCCTGCTTCACTCCTCGGTTTTTCGAAAAAAAAAATAACTCTTTTGGACCACGGTTAAGGTGGCTCCGTAGGGTTTTTTACTTACTACACTATAGTATTCAGGAGACTCCTGTTTCTTTACTTTACATGACATGAAAACGAAATTTATTGGACACATTGACAATGTTCTCCTGAACATTGCAAATTGCTACTTTTGTGTTAAAAATATGTTGTCATGGCAACAGCATGCTTAGAATAAAGCTCAAAATTTGTCTTTTTCAGGTCATTTTAAAAATTCCATTTTGTGAAATTTTTTAAAACTTTGCATAAAAGATAATACTTGTGTAATGATTTTTTCCCCTCAATTTAAAAAAATTAAATCGATGCGTTTCTTAGAAAATTTAAAAAACGTCAAAAATCAATATTAAAAATTTTCCCTTCGATTTAATTTTAAGAAAAAAGGATATTGCACTTGTTGTGCCAATATTAAAAAATGTGCAAAGTTTTAAAAAATTTTGCAGAAGGAAAACAGAGAAATTTGGGTTTAATTTTGGCAATTTTTACGGATTTTTACGCGAACAATTTAATACCCCAACTGACGTGTACATGCATTCTGCATAAAACAACAAGGCATGACTTTTTTGAAATCACAGGGTATAAATTATGTTTGATATACTGTTTATAACTGTGTCGGTTAATGGTCAACTTAGCGTGGATTATACATGTAAAAATGGCAAACTTATATTTAGGTAATTACAGATTATGACTTCTTGGTATTAATTTGAAAAATGTTTGTCAAAATGTGTCCCGTGCAAGTTAGTACTTATCGTCGGATGTTTTCGCAAAATGCCCGTTCAAATTTCAGTTTTTATAGTGGTAGGTTTGGAGTTTCGGCCCTGCTCATTTCACCCGTAGAGGGCTCATTATTTAAGTCATCTTTATTGTCATTAGTGCTGCTAGATTGTGGAGAAAACACTGCAAATTCTCGAAGAAACTTTATATCATATCCCAATGTTCGCGATCGAACCTCGCGTTACGGCGGTTCAAAAAACTTCCAGAATACCGCTTTTGAAAAAAAAACAAGTTTACATTATCTTCTTTTGAAACATCACATCCCAGTATCGTTTTGGCTTTTAGAACTCTTTTTATGCTTTTAACTAAAGCAAAGTTCACACTTTTGTTTCAAAAAAGAGTTCCATATAAACAACGTTCGTTCGTATTTTGAATTCACACGAGTTTTAGTTTACATATATACGAAGAACGTAACCCCCGGAAACAAATCCCTAGGGAGCCACCTTAAGATATCGTAAAAAGCTGCCCGCTGCTGCAGCCAATCAGATTGCAGGAAATCAAAAATATCACTAGGCATACACAAATAAAAAATAACACGACGCTCTACGGAGCGTTAACTCGCTGGGGCTATACAACTACGCACATTACTGTACAGTGTACATGATACATACAACAGCTCTTTCCCGAGCTAAGCGGAAAAGTCGAACACGAGCGCGAAAGGCTTAATAACACAGTACTAAAATGCGGTAGGCCCTACAAGTAAAGTTATATTTAGTACGCTACATTCTTCTTCAAAACTGTCAGCCGCCAGTTGGTCTAGGATTAAACTTCGCTTTAAAACGTTCAAAATAAAATATTTTGGGGCTTTTGGGCTCAAAATACTATCAAAATGAAGCGAGAAGTGAGACGAATCCACTGGTATACGGCCGAAAAAGAGACCAATGATACCAAAGTTATCAAGGGTCAAACGTACTGCATTATTTTATAATTAGTTTAATAATTTTGAGCGATTGGTAACAATACAATTTCGCTTGGCTTTCAAAGACAAAGGCCATAAATCGCTAGAACACTGTTGTTTAGTAATACATTTGACATTCAAAATTAGTACAATTTTATGAGGCGCCGTGTGTTGCAAAATTCATACTTTTCTTTAACACACTATTGAAAGTTTACGGCACATATTAGTATAGAAAACAATGTTTCACAACATGTGAAATACATACAGCCTATGCTGAAACATACACATATTGTACTGAAATGCTCAAAGTAAGCACTGAAAATAACTCTTTATACGGGTTCTCAGTATACGTTATGCGCAAAATCTCAGTATACTTTATGTGCAAATTCTCATTATACTTTATGTGCAAATTCTCAGTATACTATATGTGCAAATTCTCAGTATACTTTATGTGCAAATTCTCAGTATACTTTATGTGCAAATTCTCAGTATACTTT